CTGTGATGTTGTGGTGTTGTGGCATTGTGCTGTGATGTTGTGGTGTTGTGGCATTGTGTTGCTGTGATGTTGTGGTGTTGTGGCATTGTGGTGCTGTGATGTTGTGGTGTTGTGGCATTGTGCTGTGGTGTTGTGGCATTGTGGTGCTGTGATGTTGTGGTGTTGTGATGTTGTGGTGTTGTGACATTGTGGTGCTGTGATGTTGTGGTGTTGTGGCATTGTGCTGTGATGTTGTGGTGTTGTGGCATTGTGCTGTGATGTTGTGGTGTTGTGGCATTGTGGTGCTGTGATGTTGTGGTGTTGTGGTGTTGTGGCATTGTGGTGCTGTGATGTTGTGGTGTTGTGGTGTTGTGGTGTTGTGGCATTGTGCTGTGATGTTGTGGTGTTGTGGTGTTGTGGCATGTGTTGTGGTGTTGTGGCATTAGGCTGTGATGTTGTGGTGTTGTGGCATTGTGGTGCTGTGATGTTGTGGTGTTGTGGTGTTGTGGTGTGATGTTGTGGTGTTGTGGTGTTGTGGTGTTGTGATGTTGTGGTGTTGTGGCATTGTGCTGTGATGTTGTGGTGTTGTGGTGTTGTGGTGTTGTGATGTTGTGGCATTGTGCTGTGATGTTGTGGTGTTGTGGTGTTGTGGTGTTATGGCATGTGTTGTGGTGTTGTGGCATTAGGCTGTGATGTTGTGGTGTTGTGGCATTGTGGTGTTATGGCATGTGTTGTGGTGTTGTGGCATTAGGCTGTGATGTTGTGGTGTTGTGGCATTGTGGTGCTGTGATGTTGTAGTGTTGTGGCATTGTGCTGTGTTGTTGTGGTGTTGTGGCATTGTGGTGCTGTGATGTTGTGGTGTTGTGGCATTGTGCTGTGGTGTTGTGGCATTGTGGTGTTGTGACATTGTGGTGCTGTGATGTTGTGGTGTTGTGGCATTGTGCTGTGATGTTGTGGTGTTGTGGCATTGTGCTGTGATGTTGTGGTGTTGTGGCATTGTGGTGCTGTGATGTTGTGGTGTTGTGGTGTTGTGGCATTGTGGTGCTGTGATGTTGTGGTGTTGTGGTGTTGTGGTGTTGTGGCATTGTGCTGTGATGTTGTGGTGTTGTGGTGTTGTGGCATGTGTTGTGGTGTTGTGGCATTAGGCTGTGATGTTGTGGTGTTGTGGCATTGTGGTGCTGTGATGTTGTGGTGTTGTGGTGTTGTGGTGTGATGTTGTGGTGTTGTGGTGTTGTGGTGTTGTGATGTTGTGGTGTTGTGGCATTGTGCTGTGATGTTGTGGTGTTGTGGTGTTGTGGTGTTGTGATGTTGTGGCATTGTGCTGTGATGTTGTGGTGTTGTGGTGTTGTGGTGTTATGGCATGTGTTGTGGTGTTGTGGCATTAGGCTGTGATGTTGTGGTGTTGTGGCATTGTGGTGTTATGGCATGTGTTGTGGTGTTGTGGCATTAGGCTGTGATGTTGTGGTGTTGTGGCATTGTGGTGCTGTGATGTTGTAGTGTTGTGGCATTGTGCTGTGTTGTTGTGGTGTTGTGGCATTGTGGTGCTGTGATGTTGTGGTGTTGTGGCATTGTGGTGCTGTGATGTTTTGGTGTTGTGGCATTGTGCTGTGATGTTGTGGTGTTGTGGTGTTGTGGTGTTGTGGTGTTGTGGTGTTGTGGTGTTGTGGCATTGTGCTGTGATGTTGTGGTGTTGTGGTGTTGTGGTGTTGTGGTGTTGTGGTGTTGTGGCATTGTGCTGTGATGTTGTGGTGTTGTGGTGTTGTGCTGTGATGTTGTGGTGTTGTGGTGTTGTGCTGTGATGTTGTGGTGTTGTGGCATTGTGCTGTGATGTTGTGGTGTTGTGGTGTTGTGGCATTGTGCTGTGATGTTGTGGCATTGTGCTGTGATGTTGTGGTGTTGTGGTGTTGTGGTGTTGTGGTGTTGTGGTGTTGTGGTGTTGTGGTGTTGTGGCATTGTGCTGTGATGTTGTGGTGTTGTGGCATTGTGGTGTTGTGGTGTTGTGGTGTTGTGGCATTGTGCTGTGATGTTGTGGTGTTGTGGCATTGTGGTGCTGTGATGTTGTGGTGTTGTGGCATTGTGGTGCTGTGATGTTGTGGTGTTGTGATGTTGTGGTGTTGTGACATTGTGGTGCTGTGATGTTGTGGTGTTGTGGCATTGTGCTGTGATGTTGTGGTGTTGTGGCATTGTGCTGTGATGTTGTGGTGTTGTGGCATTGTGGTGCTGTGATGTTGTGGTGTTGTGGTGTTGTGGCATTGTGGTGCTGTGATGTTGTGGTGTTGTGGTGTTGTGGTGTTGTGGTGTTGTGGCATTGTGCTGTGATGTTGTGGTGTTGTGGTGTTGTGGTGTTGTGGCATGTGTTGTGGTGTTGTGGCATTAGGCTGTGATGTTGTGGTGTTGTGGCATTGTGGTGTTGTGGTGTTGTGGTGTTGTGGCATTGTGCTGTGATGTTGTGGTGTTGTGGCATTGTGGTGCTGTGATGTTGTGGTGTTGTGGCATTGTGGTGCTGTGATGTTGTGGTGTTGTGATGTTGTGGTGTTGTGACATTGTGGTGCTGTGATGTTGTGGTGTTGTGGCATTGTGCTGTGATGTTGTGGTGTTGTGGCATTGTGGCGTTGTGGTGTTGTGGTGTTGTGGCATTGTGCTGTGATGTTGTGGTGTTGTGGCATTGTGGTGCTGTGATGTTGTGGTGTTGTGGCATTGTGGTGCTGTGATGTTGTGGTGTTGTGATGTTGTGGTGTTGTGACATTGTGGTGCTGTGATGTTGTGGTGTTGTGGCATTGTGCTGTGATGTTGTGGTGTTGTGGCATTGTGCTGTGATGTTGTGGTGTTGTGGCATTGTGGTGCTGTGATGTTGTGGTGTTGTGGTGTTGTGGCATTGTGGTGCTGTGATGTTGTGGTGTTGTGGTGTTGTGGTGTTGTGGTGTTGTGGCATTGTGCTGTGATGTTGTGGTGTTGTGGTGTTGTGGTGTTGTGGTGTTGTGGCATGTGTTGTGGTGTTGTGGCATTAGGCTGTGATGTTGTGGTGTTGTGGCATTGTGGTGCTGTGATGTTGTGGTGTTGTGGTGTTGTGGTGTGATGTTGTGGTGTTGTGGTGTTGTGGTGTTGTGATGTTGTGGTGTTGTGGCATTGTGCTGTGATGTTGTGGTGTTGTGGTGTTGTGGTGTTGTGATGTTGTGGCATTGTGCTGTGATGTTGTGGTGTTGTGGTGTTGTGGTGTTATGGCATGTGTTGTGGTGTTGTGGCATTAGGCTGTGATGTTGTGGTGTTGTGGCATTGTGGTGTTATGGCATGTGTTGTGGTGTTGTGGCATTAGGCTGTGATGTTGTGGTGTTGTGGCATTGTGGTGCTGTGATGTTGTAGTGTTGTGGCATTGTGCTGTGTTGTTGTGGTGTTGTGGCATTGTGGTGCTGTGATGTTGTGGTGTTGTGGCATTGTGGTGCTGTGATGTTTTGGTGTTGTGGCATTGTGCTGTGATGTTGTGGTGTTGTGGTGTTGTGGTGTTGTGGTGTTGTGGCATTGTGCTGTGATGTTGTGGTGTTGTGGTGTTGTGGTGTTGTGGTGTTGTGGCATTGTGCTGTGATGTTGTGGTGTTGTGGCATTGTGCTGTGATGTTGTGGTGTTGTGCTGTGATGTTGTGGTGTTGTGGCATTGTGCTGTGATGTTGTGGTGTTGTGGTGTTGTGGCATTGTGCTGTGATGTTGTGGCATTGTGCTGTGATGTTGTGGTGTTGTGATGTTGTGGTGTTGTGGTGTTGTGGTGTTGTGGCATTGTGCTGTGATGTTGTGGTGTTGTGGCATTGTGGTGTTGTGGTGTTGTGGTGTTGTGGCATTGTGCTGTGATGTTGTGGTGTTGTGGTGTTGTGGTGTTGTGATGTTGTGGTGTTGTGGTGTTGTGGTGTTGTGATGTTGTGGTGTTGTGGCATTGTGCTGTGATGTTGTGGTGTTGTGGTGTTGTGGTGTTGTTGTGTTGTGGTGTTGTGGTGTTGTGGTGTTGTGGTGTTGTGGTGTTGTGGTGTTGTAGCATTGTGCTGTGGTGTTGTGATGTTGTGGTGTTGTGGTGTTGTGGTGTTGTGGTGTTGTGGCATTGTGCTGTGATGTTGTGGTGTTGTGGTGCTGTGATTTTGTGGTGTTGTGGCATTGTGCTGTGATGTTTTGGTGTTGTGGCATTGTGGTGCTGTGATGTTGTGGTGTTGTGGTGTTGTGGCATTGTGGTGCTGTGATGTTGTGGTGCTGTGATGTTGTGGCATTGTGCTGTGCTGTTGTGGTGTTGTGGCATTGTGGTACTGTGATGTTGTGGTGTTGTGGCATTGTGGTGCTGTGATGTTGTGGTGTTGTGGTGTTGTGGTGTTGTGGCATTGTGGTGATGTAATGTTGTGGTATTGTGGTGTTGTGGCATTGTGCTGTAATGTTGTGGTGTTGTGGCATTGTGGTGCTGTAATGTTTTGGTATTGTGGTGTTGTGGCATTGTGGTGCTGTAATGTTGTGGTATTGTGGTGTTGTGGCATTGTGGTGCTGTAATGTTGTGCCATTGTAGTGTTGTGGCATATGATGCCGTGAAACCTACGCATTTTAAACCCGTACAGTGATAGCAGCTAAAATGTTCTGAATGAAATGTACACGAAAATCAAGTGCGATACCATTGTTAAAGTGCCTAAATTCGTTCAGAACGTCACATTACAAACTGTTAAATGATTTAGAAAAGTGTACAGTACACATACTAATACTGGACTACAAGTAAGGTCCTTCCACTTACAGAAATGAAAAACGAAAAGGAGGAGAGGGAGGATAATAGAGTTTTTTTTAATCGCAGGCTATAAAAAATAGGGCATTTAAAAGAAACCAACACAAGAATTACCTGAAAGTGGTTGTTGTTTAAGAGTGAAGAAGAGAGGAAAGAATAATATTTTAGCCCTGAGATATTCTTATCTTTCAGCGGCAAAGAGTTGATGTTCAAGATAAGAAACGTGTTTGATCGCTGCCAATAAAACCAGGGCAGGTAAAAGAAAACCAAACAAGAATTACCTGAAAGTGGTTGTTGTCCCAGTCCTCGTTCCCAAAGGTACCAGCCCCGGCAGTGTGCAGTGATGTCAGAACCAACATGGCTGACCAGTACACCAGGCTTCTTGATCTTTTCGTATTCATTTTTTTCTTTCTGGAGGATTGGTTGGAAACAATAAATCCACATTAATGTTTAGGAGAGGCTTTATAATAATACTAGCCTAAAACTGAAGGTCATTGTAAGGGATTGTGCAATACACTTTATTACACGAATTTTTGCCATTTGACTAACCGATTATCATATATGACGTTGTATAACAATTGAATAGATAACCACCTCTCATAAATTATTTTTAAGAGATTCATCTCCTCCCCTCATATACACATATGTGTACGCACACTCAGCGACTAAGTAAAGCTCCAATGTGACAAGTGAAGTAGAGTTCACCTGTTTTTGTGAGCTCGGGATATAAATGGATAGTGTGTTCACCACCATGGCTAATCGCCTTCGCTTTCCTTAACCTGAGTTAGGTACTCAGGGACGTTCGACTGACTTGAACCCGGATTCGAACTCGAGACTTTCGGGTCAGTCGTCCAGCGCTATACAACGACTAAATTTTGTATTATTAAAGTGTGATGTTTCAAAATTAGTAAGGGGCCGTCCATAAACGACGTGACAATCCTAGGAGACAATGTAGGATCTGACTTTTTGTGCCCAACTGTGACGCGGGGAGTTTGGGAGGTAAAAAACGTTTTAAAAAGCGTGACATCATATATGGATGACGCCCCCCCCCCCCCCTAAGACGAATAGTAGACGCATCAGAATATGTCACTTGTTATTCAATTACTGTAAGCTATCACTCAGTCGTTTGTTTTTAAATTTAGTTAGGTCAGTTGTTAATGAAATATAAAGAAAATCAACATTTGTCTATACCGCGCTATGCAAATATCTATATATATATAATTCTCTTCTTGGAGACATTTGAAAACACCAAGCTGTAAGCGCGCCTAACAGTCCCATCTCTTCCTTTCTATGCATATCCCTACCTCCCCCCACCCCCACATGGTCTGGTGACTGTGGTTCACGCTAAATGTTTAGTGACGGCAATTAGGGGCAGATAATTTAGTTTGAAACGATTTTAAACTTAGGAGAGGTAACTAAGAGGAGGCTGCTTTCACGGGGATTGAAGGGGGGAGGGGGGTAGATGGGGTAGGGGTAGGGGGAAAGGAGGGCTTTAGTATTTTAAAGCAAATATTTTCAGTGGCAGCATTGGTACTGTCGAATTCACATACTGAAAAAGTAGAAAAACTAAATAGCGGCGTATAAAACGCCGCGGGTCGGCTCGTAAGATATAAATGATAAACTACCTTTACCATTTTATGTTGTAAAATCATAAGTATGCTCCCTAATTTGCAAGCTATGCATTTGACAAGTAAGGTTTACCTAATGCTTGCTTCTACCTTTTTAAATAAATGCAGTCATTCTTATACCTAGTCCTTATTTGTGATGAATACAATGTATAACATAAATCAAATATTGTAAACAAACTTACAATGTTTCCCCTATTTAGTTACCATCAGTTTTCATCATGTCAAAAACCCAAACATAGGCGGCGCTGTTAGCTCTGTGGGTCAAGATGGCGGCACAGTGACTGAGTAGAGACTCGGTCTTTTGATGGTCCCTGGCATCAGACCACCTGTTAGAAATGTGGATCAGCTAATTAATTGGTAATTAAAATATTGATGGGAGTTTAAGAGAATTCTTTTAAAAATCAAAGACGTTGTGTAAAAAATACTGAGATTCAAATAAATAAAATTAAACATAAAGTCAGATAGTAAGCAAAATAGAATTTTAAAAGACCCAATGCCTGTTACCTAGACTCTCTCTCTCGGTTTTACTGGTTGGGACTTTCGTGAGTAGCTCACGTTAGGAATAGTAAAGACGGCTGGGCATAATGCTGACTACACTATACCTTCATATGCCGAGGTCACAGAAACAAGTGAACTTTATTTCACCTGTTCCATAGACCGTGTTTTTTTCAGGCATCTCTTAAGGGGAGAGAGTTCACGACCCCCGACCCCCCCCCCCCCCCCCTTGAGGCATTTGCCCCCCCCCCCTCCCCCGAACTAAATAGAGTTGATATAGATACTTTTACCAGTGTCCGTCACCCCCCCCCCCCCCCCCACCCGGAAAATTTAGTCCTCCTCCTCACGCCTCCCCCGGAGAAAAAAAGTCTGAAAGAATCACTTCGAAAAGGTACTGTACTTCTACCGAGCATTAACAGGTCACTGAGGTGGCAAAGATATCAGAGGCGTCCACGACGTTTATTTTACAATGAAAGCTCGCCAAGAAATAAAACATCTTTTTTAAAATTCAAAGAATAAGTGTCAAGTAACAGCATTGTCAATGTAAGCAGGTCACGAGGATTTAAAAATAGATATTTTATTATTCTGTTTAGGAAATTAAAAAAAAAATCGGGAATTCAAGTAGTTATTAATACAACTGAAGGATAAAAATAGTTCGTTGAATATGTAAATAAATACAAGGCTACGAAACTCGACAAGCTTGTCAGCTTTCACATCGAAGAACAAAAACATGGATCATGGGAAGGGGGGGGGGTGGCTGTGGGATGTCTAATTACCATAACGACCGATGTGTGGGGTGTAGGCGATGGACAGTGACGGACCGTCAACACAGGGTTAGGTGACAGTGACGCATGCAGGGTGAAGGCAACAGGACAGTGCGGGGTTTGGGGGTCTGCAGGAAGAGGGGGGGGGGGATTAATTGATCGTGGCGGATGGAGGTTGATTCTTGGGTTATGTTGGGGGGGGGGTGAGGGGTAGGTTATTTTGGAGAAGGTGTGGTGGGGGGGGGGGGTAAATAGGTTCGGTTAAGAGTGAAGTTGTGGGTCATAAATGGGTTAGGTGGGATAGATGAGTAGACGGGTTTGATAGGTGGGTTAGAGTTAATTCCTAGGTGATGTTGGGGTTGTGGGTGGGGGGGGGGGGTAGGTTATGTTGGGGTGGGGTGATACCTAGGTTAGGTTAAGGGTGAAGCGGTGGGTCATAAATGGGTTAGGAGGGGAGGGGGAGATTAGTAGATGGGTTTGAGAAGGGGGTGTGTTAATTTCTGGGTGATGTTTGGGTTAGAGGAGGTTATGAAGGCGTGGGTGGCTTGAATGGTTTAGGTGGGGGTGAATAGTGGATGGGTTTGGGGTGGGTTGAGGTCGATTCCTAGGTTATTTTATAGGGTGAGAGGGGTAATGGATGGATTAAGTGTGGGGGGGGGATGAATTAGTGGGCTAGTTTTTCTTGCTACAAGGGCATTATGTACTGTATCCACTTTTTAAAAAAAAATTTTAGCTTTGATTTGATTGTATTCGATTTTTTAATTAATTACAATAATACTTTTTTTTTTCTACAAATAATCATACACTCGGTCTTTATACCCACGATGAGTAAGTACCATAAGTTTCAAGATATAGGCCTTGCTTAAGATCTCAGGTCCTTCCCTCCTCCCCCACCACACCTCACCCTCCCCCCTTGCTCCAAAGCCTTGTGTAAATAGCGCTGGTAAAAAAGTAGACACCTTGTAGAAACACGCAGAATGGCATTAAGGATTAGAGAAAATCATGAGCCTTCAATCTGTTTATAAGAAAGGTCAAACCCCGGTATACTGACTACATCATTTAAATGGTAACCATAAAAATGCGAAATGGAAAAGTGCGCAAAACTGCGAACAAAAAATCGACAATTAAAGAAACTAGCAAGTAAAGACCACATGCACATTATAGCTTTATATAACGTTTTTCTACGAAATATAACCAAACGCAAGTGTATTTACAGTTGAATTTGAATTGAATTTGCGTATTTTTCTTTCGGCGTAGTTTTCGGTTCGGATTTTTTTTTCGTTGCGCGTTTTTTCTGTGAACCCATTTTAATAAATACTCTAGCGCCTATGGCTACACAGTAATTTCCCGATCAGGTATACCGTAACTCGGATTTTAAAAATCTACTAAGTTCGCTAAACCAGGGGTGGAATGGCCCGCCGGTCTACCGGGGTGGGCACCCAGGAAAAAAACATCTCGATTGAGAACGGTGGTGTATTAGTCCAATGAGTTAAAAACAAAATTAAATATTTTTTAGGGTTAAAGTTACCAAAATACAGACCTTTTTAATGCAAACTATAAATGACATGTGCCAATCTCACCCTCCTTAATAAATCCTAGAGGTACAAGTTTTATACCCCTTTTATATAATCATCTTCAGGTGGCGGGGGTTAATATTTATGCGGGGCTTCTCTGGACGGACTGGCCTAGCGGTATAGACCTAGACTGCTAACCTGTAAGTCTGGAGTTCGAATCCGGATTCAAGTCAGTAGACCGTCCCTGAGTCCCCAAACTCTGATGGGTAACTAACTCACGTTATGGAAAGTAAAGGCGGCTGGGCATAGTGCTTACCACACTATCCCTTCATATGCCGAGTTCACAGAAACAAGTGAACTCTACTTCACTTGCCCCGTAGACCGTCAGGTTTGAAATGGAACTTTACTTATCTTGACAATATCCATATTTCGCAACGCGTTTTAAAAAGACGTGCAACGACTCATTGAATCTAGCGCTTCACATGGGCCTACAGTATGTTTCGTCTTGTTTTGTTCGTTTTGTTTGTGATGCGCAACTTTAAGCTTGACGCCAATCTCTGTGACAAGTGTCAGTGTCACAACTTCCGGCGTGGTGTGACATGTCTGACATCGCTGGTACAACACTGACCTACTTTCGGTACGCAACAACGGACGACACGTCACAACGAGGCTGCAGGGGGAAAACATGCCTGCTTCACGTGACCTCATCTAACTACCGGGAAAATTGTGAACTTTACGAGAAACTGAACAGCTACACAAACAACAAAACTATTTACCTAAGTATACTTATGTTATTCTATTATAATTTCTTTTTAAAAAAAAACGTTTAATTGCTAAGCAAGGAAGACATGGAGAAGAACGGTTGAAGAAGAGGCGAAAACAGCTGGGCTCACATGGGCACAGATATAGGGGGCAGCCCAAAACCGAGTCCGATGGAGATGTGTGGCTGCAGCCCTTTGCTCCCCAGGCGCCACAAAGGAACGATGATGACGATGATGAG